GAGAGAGAGAGAGAGAGAGAGAGAGAGAGAGACAGAGACAGAGACAGAGACAAAGAGACAGAGACAGAGAGAGAGGGAGAGAGAGACAGAGAGAGAGGGGGATAGAGAGACACAGAGAGAGACAGAGAGACAGAGAGACAGAGAGACAGAGACACAGAGGGGGGTGAAAGAGAAAGGGTTCAGGAATGCCTAATTGAGTTGCAAGAAGAATTTACCTTTGTCACAAGAAGGCGAGTATTGCCAGGGTAAATATGCTTACGGAAGAAGAAGGTACCGGACGGGGATTATTAGATGGCGTGATCTGGCTTAGGTTGGGAGTGAGTTTAATCATACAGGGAGCAGATTTTTGCTCCTTCTCATATTTTGACAACTCTTGGGGCACCTTTGAAGAAACGTCCCTGAGTACTTGAAACGAAAGTCTTTTCTTTTTTTTTATCATCTGAAACGTAGAGGGGCAGGCAACAACGTTCAGACTGTTAATACTTTGACTATGACAAATGTTTGGTGGTTTTTTTGGCTTCTGCTTCATGTTTGACAGCTAGAGTTATATGCCGCTACATTTTTGGGGGGTCTACATGCACTTGATCAGGTCTAAATATGTAGCTACCCTAGAATTACAAAATTCTATCTGCTCAGTACCTAGTTTTGAGAAATCTGACGTCAAATAAATTTACAGTCACAATGTTCCAAGCTGTTTCGGGTGCAGTTTGATGATACAGCAAAAGATCATTTTGTGACTTTCATAATGTTTTAGTATGCAATCCTTAAGTCTGCTGGAATAATAATGGTTGTAAAGCGCACAGAGCATGAACCACAGAATAATAGATCGTACAGTTGATATCATGCTAACAACGAAGCAAATGGCACTGATTTAAATCCCTAACGGGGCAATCTGAATTTAAGCTGCTTTGGGGAGGGGGGTCGTTGTTTGTTTGGGTTTATTTTAAGTTTGTTTTTGTTGGTGATGTTTTTAGACCCCCCCCCCCCCACACACACACACCCCGTTCGGCTCGGTCCTACAGGAGATGACTGCTAAATTCGGAGGTCCAGCCTCCCAAATAACCATCCAGTGTTGAATGAAGCATTAAACTTAAACAGACACCAATGACCAACATAAGGAAAACGGCTGCCCAGAATATTCCTTGGAGTAGATCTACCTAAATGGTATTATCGGGAAACGACGTTGAAATTGGAGGGTGCCAAACTAATACAAATATCCAAAGTACCGGAAAATGAGAAGCCACATTCTAGTCTCTGTCATGTACGTCCATAGACCTGTATCACAATAACCTAGATTGTGCACTCTCGCGTACTTCCGGTTCACTACAGAGCGCACCTTGTTACTCAGTTTGAGCCAAAAGAAGGGCAAGGGGGAAAGGTTTCGTTCACATTCAACTACAGCGAGACTGTTGTTTTATTTTTATCCTACGCTTTGGGCGTAATGACGGTGTCCATGGTGTGCATTAAGACCAGTCAAAGAGACCAAAGAGCCGCGGCTATAGCGGTGTTTGGTCTAGATCTAGAATTACGAGTCTAGGTGCACACCTTTTTAATCTGTGTAAACAGGATCAGGCTCGATCAGTCTCTCTCTCTCTCTCTCTCTCTCTCTCTCTCTCTCTCTCTCTCTCTCTCTCTCTTTCTCTCTCTGCCTCCCCGTCCCCCCACCAAATTCTTCATCATCCTTCTCCCACATTATTCATCTCCCCGTTTTCCACCTCCCTCTCTTCCCCTCTTCCCCTCCCACCATTCTTCATCTTTTACTTTTTTATAACTATGCTGCGTCAACAGACGTGTAGAGACATCGGGGGTGTCAAAGCGGACGTTTCTCTTTATCTCCTGCCGGGTTACACTTTACTAATTACTTTTATTGCAGTCTACCCTTTACTTTATTCTTATGTGTCTGTTATTCTCCCTC